ATCCCGGCTGCAGCAGCTGACAAAAGCACTGCTTACTGCTGTAGACTTTGCGGTCCTAATCAAGACAGTCCCAAACCCGGCAGGCCGTGACCACCGCGGCTGATCGCCACCAACGGCGGCAGCATGCTGCCGGCACCGCACAGTGTTCGAGAGATGAAGTCAGAATCGCTGCCACAAGCAACCCTGCTCTGCAAGGAGAAAATCATAGAGCTTACAGATGCGAACTGGTCAGCTGGTTGTCGCTGCGGCGGGTGCGACTGGGACAAGGTTAGGAGTCCCGGTAGGAGAGAGGAGAAGGGAAAGCTGCGCGTTGAGAGCCCGAAATGGCCAATGCCGCAATCACAGCAGCCGATTCAGAGTGCTTCATGTGCAACTGAACGAAAAGCCCTCCAGGCTGCGCTTTCAATTCAGTGGGTACACATAGCTATACAGAAACATAAACATGCACAAATACCTTTGCGTTGCGTAACATATGAGTTGCGCTTTTAAGTCCGAAAGCATAGCAAGCTTACAAATGCAACAGAGCGGCTACGCTATTTGCACAGTGGGAACCCTGGTGCCGGGCAGGAGTTCGGGCAGGAGCGCACCGAGCCGTCGTGACAGCCATGGAGAAGGCTGCAACACCGTTGGCCTTACTCAGCGGTCTGCGTGCTAGCATCTCGTAACTAGCCTGTATGGCATACTGTCGTCTCTCTGTCTGTCGATCTATCTACTAACCTATCTATGTCTAGCTTTGTACCGTATTCTTTCTGTGCTATCGAACGAAATGTAGTTCATTGAAAACACTCTTGGCGGCAACCTCTGAGACATGCTGGTACCCTGGCTCCCTCTCATACATCTCTCATACGGCGGCCGAGAGAGCTGAACCATCAGCAAGCCCTTATTCGCACAGTTCCTACTACTGTCAGAGCACTGCCATTGCCGCTGCTGCTGTTGTCTTCGTTCGCATCATGACGATGAGTGTATGAGCCTGCAACAACATCTCACGGCTTCTTACGATTCAGCGCAGCATGCCTCGCGAAGTCGACAGTGTTTCATACCTTCCTTGAGCCTACTTGCGATGCTGACTTCAGAATGTCCGCTCCCTGAACCTGAAACTGTAAACCGTGAACCGAATCTCAAAACAACGACCAAAACTCACCCAAAACACATGGAGAAGCCTTATCACACCCATGTAATGTAATCCCAACTGTACATTCATGTTCATGTAGAAGCGTCGACAAAAAACTGCCATGTAGGGATATAAAGCCCCATAAGCTCACTACAAACCCCATAAGATGCACTACCAAGAGCAAAACAAAGACCGAAGAGAGAACACTCACTATTACTATAACTACTATTACCATTATGAATATACTCTTATTCACTATTGCTATAATTGTACTATTACTATTATGAATATACTAATCCCTAAGGGATTATTATTATTGCTTATTGTTGTTTCTTTAAGCTTCGACCTCCAAGATCCCGGCCCGGGATGCGGCACCTACCGCTCGACCTGGAACGATGCGACCCAGGGCTGAGGCTTTTTGCAGGTTCGGGGCCCGGCCTAGGGTGTACCCAGAGGTCCGAAAGTAGCTCCTTTTTGGGAGTACCTTCTAGGATTCTAATGAACCCCACAAAGGAACTACTTTAGGGCCTTTGGGTAGTGCCTGGTTTATGGTTCAGCGCGTTTGGAGCTCAGGGTTTAGAGGCTTTGAGCTGTCTACAGTGTGAGTGAGGCGGCTGTGTGCTTGTTTAAAAATTGGGGCGCACCTGCTTATCGTGCGCTCGCATCAGCATGGTTTTCTCAAACGCCCAAGCAACTAAGGTTAACAGGATCTGGTCTACTGGGATCCCAACCATTTTGGGTTACCCCGAATACCTACCTGTCTTCGAAGCAATAATCACAAAACCCTAACCCCTCACCGTTCGCTAGAGACGCTTGGCCGGGAAGCCTCGAGCGCCGATGTAAATGGTCAGTGGCACTCTCGGCAGTCAAGGGTTTAGGGCTCTGGGTTTCGGGCTTCGGGTTCAGATTCTTAGCATCCAAGACCTAATGTATTTATGATTTAACTTCAGTTTCAATTAGTTTGTCTTCCTTTTCCGCACGTTTCCGGGTCTAGAGTCGAGACTTCAGGGCTGTCGGGTTGAGGGCTCCAGGTCTCGAGTTTGGGCTCTTTGGTTGGCCTGACATCATCCTCTTCTACTGCTGTACTCGCGGTATATACGGGTAACAGTACTTGCTGCACTCTATGGGATTGTAAGTTGGGGACGTATATTATGATCCTCAATACAAAAGGGCTTTGCGGCACTCTATGTAGGGCTCCGGGCCCCTACGCCTGTGCATCCCGCCTCTCTCGATGTAGGCGGCTAGGACTCGCTTTAGCAGCGGCTTGAGATATTCCTGACGCAGATGGAGACTCCAGTGTCTCAAGCTTTACGGTCTTCAAGTTTAGGCTTTGGTATGTCTACTTGAGGTTGTGGCGCTAGCAGTGCCAGCAGGGGCAGCATAGTAGTAGCCGTCGTCGTCGCTGTGGTGGTGGTGGTCGTGGTGGTGGTGGCGGTACAATCGTCGTCGTGACAGCATCGCTTTGCCCGGGCCCAGAGTCCAGAGCAGCAGAAAGTTCCGGTGCTTGTTTCAGCACTCCTTCAATGCTCCGCACATATGCGGCGGGTTCTTCTGATTCTAGACCACGCACACTTTACGCCACGAAGCTAACACCCTGAATATTCAACCCGGAACCTTAAACGCGACAACACCATAGCCCGAACTGATCCCCAAACCCTCAACACTCCATTGCCTCATCTTCTGGATTCTTCAGCGGCGGAAGAGCTGCAAAGGTTCGCGGCAAATCCTACAGAAGTCGGTGCTTCGTTTGACATAATATGGAAAACAAAGCATGATATAGCATAACATACAACAGCATAGGATGCGTACATATCAATGCACCAGAAGTGCCTATGTACTTGCGCATGTATGCGATCTTTCAGCATGTACGTATATGTATACATACATATACTTGCACATACATATATACATGCATATGTATGTATACATCTATAGGTATAGATACAGGCAGAACAAGCAGATACGCGCACACATAAAACAATCAATGTCAGAGAGAGAGAGAGGGCAAACACTTATCTTCAATTGATTTATGAGCGTTGTGTGTGTGTCTCTCTCTCTATATATATATATATATATATATGTCTATATATATAGAGAGAGAGAGATACGCACACAACTACGGATGTTATTGTATTTGTTCCGAGCTCTGAGCCCCATGGGCTGAAGACCTTGGGGGGCTCCGGATTCCCTTACGGTGTGAAGCCCGATGCACCCTAAGAGACTCCTATGAAACCCCTTATGGGACCCCAACCCTTCTAAAACCTTCTAAGGCGGGCGTAGGGAGGGATACTGTAGCGGCTCCTTCTCGATCTGCTTGCGATCCTCGCAGAGAGCTGTAGGAAAGCGAGGTGTAGGGTTTCCGGGTTTGGGATTGGGGTTTAGGGTTCAGGGGTTGAGGTGCAGTAGGGATTTGCGCTGTCTTTCTAAGAGCTTGTAAGGAACTGCGTTCAAGTTGCCACAACAACGGACACATTATTTTAGCTAAGATACTTGCGAAAGTAGCTGGTAGCTCAAGTGCTCAAGATCAAGCTGCTTTGCTCAGCTAAGGCAGAAACAGCCTCTGGCTTGGTGGGTATACCACGGTCTCCGCCACAACGGAGTACACTTCAGACGCTTTCAGACGCTGTGACATGTTTTACAGAATCACACACTTTTTTCACGACGGAACACAACGCAATGAGCGTCATGCAGTAGTATCAGTACTAGTAGTGTCGCTCACTGCAGCACATGGAATTCATTGCCCAAAGAGACCGCTCATTATACTTGGTTAAGCCCTGCAAACGCTAGCAACTCACGCCTCGGCTCGGAAGCCAAACACATCAAACGTGAGTGTTTTGTCGCAGGTCCTTGAGTGCCGCATCATCCATCCGGCTGAAGGAGGAGGTCACGAGGCACTCGTAGTAGTTCTGAAGGCCGAGGGTGTAGGGGTGAAGCTACGGGCGACGGTCTGCGACCAGACTTTGTGGTGCCTTCATCACCCAGCAAATATGCAACCCTTGACTTCAGAAAGCTGGCGAAGGCTGCAAGGTACGAACGATCCCCATACGACAATGAGAATGAATCCCAAGCCGAAGGTGTACGCAAATCCGAAAAGCCCCCGAATGCCTGCCCAATGTCCCCCCCCTCCAACCTTAGGGTTAGGGCTTTTTGGGTTTAGGCAAGCCAGTGTGCGGGTTTAGGGCATATGATTCTTCGTCACCACCCTTATCATCAGCCTAAGCCCGAAAACCTAATTCCGAAACTTTACCCCCTAATCGTCGCTTTGATCCCTAAACCCTGATGATAACAATGCTTAAGTACAAGTGTAAATACAAACAAATACAAATATAAATACATATATGATCACATCATGTCACATACATATACATATATATATATATATTTCATAAGCATATCTGCATATATATATATGTATATATGTATATATATATATATGTATATGGATATCTCCAAGCACTCGGTCACCCGGCCCTGGAGCTCTCGCCACCCAGGGCGTCGAAGCGCTTGCGCTGCGCAACTTGCCGGTACCTGGAACAGCTGAAAGTGCCCATCTGGTTGAAGCTTATGGTTAAACCCTAAACCCTAAACCCTAAACACCCCAAAACCCTAAATGTTGAAGCTTATGGTTAAACCCTGAACCCTAAACCCCCAAACCCCCTAAACCCTAAATGTTGAAGCTTATGGTTAGGCGGTGTGAAGCTGTTGGAGCTTTCAAGGGCCAATGCTGAGTGGGTCTGGGTGATCTATGTGATTATTTGGGGTGATTCCGAGAGGTGGCCCTGTCTCAAACAACCCCGGCCACCGGTGGTTTTGCGCGTTGGAGCCTTAAGGTTTTTGCGCTTTAACCCTAAACCCTCAACCCCAAGGTTTAGGGCTCTCTTTTCCTCCGTCACTGCAGCGACCACCGCTCCGGTGGCTTCGAGCCCTTCGGCCCCTTCTCTGTCCAGCGCTGGACGTAGGAGGGCCCCAGGAGGCGCAAGGAGCGGCCAAGGGCCTCGACCTGGGGGGTTTAAGGTTTAGGGTGTTGGGGTTTAGGGTTTAGGGGTTAGGGCGGTTAGGGTTTAGAGTTCAGGGTTTAGGGTGTAGAGTTTAGGCGTTAGGGTTTAGAGTTTAGGGTGTAGGGTTTGGGGTTGCTCTCTTTCTTGCGGGCTGTGGGAACATGTATATAGATATGAACGACTAAAACCGTCTAGAGTAGAGGAGGGTCATGTAGGGGATGAGGAGGCTGAAGGCTGAGAGTTTGGTTACGGTTAAGAGTATGATTTCAAGGGCTCAGGCATATAGGGAAAACAAGATCGGCCAAGGGGTGCCTCGAACACGGAGCTCTCCTTCGGCAGCACCTTGACCTGGTTGTCGGAAGTGATGATCCGGAAGGTTTTCTGCGTCTCTTCGATGACCGTGCCCGTCAGGCCTGGGGAGTTCAGACAGACACCGTCTGCTCCCTCACGCAGCCATTAGTTCAACCCAAAACCCCAAACCCCCCAAACCATTACTGAACCCACGCATGTCCTAACTCAAACCCAAAACTTAAAGCCCAAACCCCTAACCAGCAAACCTCAAGCCTGTGAAAACCCGGAATCGACAACTTACACTCACTGAAAACCTCATGGCCTTACTCGCTGCTTTGGTCAGCCGGGGCTATGGGCGGGACGCTTTGGCACTGGTGTTCTCAAAAGTGTTGCTAGCTTCATCTCGTCGCTGACTCTCCCTCAAAGCTCCAGTAGGGTTTCGGGCTTCAGGTTTACTGTTGAGGATGTCGGGCTTACGGTCCGAATCTGTGAAAACAGCATTGCCTAAACGGATCAATGATGTTCGACGGCCGTCTCACCATAGTTGCTGAGTTCCTAAGCCCCCAAAGTGTACACTTTCAGTTTTGTAGTGGCTAGTATTATCCCAAAAAGTGTAAAGTGTATCCACTCAGCTACTAAGACCATTTCACCAGTCGAGCCACGTACCATGCCCGGGTTTCTCGCCTGCCGACCAGGGGAATGGTTCCGAACGTCGGGCATCGTAAATTAGAATTGGGTATCGCTGCTGTTGTACGACGTAAATTGCTCAAAAAGCAATAACAGTAAGTAATAATGCGAATAACTACAATAACAAGTATGAGTAATAATGGTAATAATGACAAAAAACTAGTCATATTGGTGACATATTGCTGCTATTCGACCTAGAGCCCTAAGCTGATACTCGACTTGCACAAGATGTGTTTGTCTCGCCCCTGGTCCTACTTTGCACTCTCCGAATTTAGGGATCCCAAGTAAAGGGTCCTTGTAATTACTTAAGGCGGATGACAGGTCCACTTCGGGCCAGTGCGCCGGTTTCAAAAACCCGCAACACGTGCAAGATAGAACTGCGCAGCATGCTGGCGCCACCAAATCTGCTACTTCGCTTGTGTTCCAAAAGACTTCGATAAGCACTGTAGATCCCCAATAAAACTGCAACATGCTGTTGCCATGAAACGAACATCAATTCCTAAAAAAAGCCTCGTGAACTTGAACCTTGTAAACCCTAAACCCTCACCGCAGAAGTGATGATTCATCTGTCAGGCCTGGGCCACTCGAAGACTGCTCCCGTGCAAGTCGGCACGGGCCAAGATGTCGGATAGCTCCTTACTTTTGGATCATGGTGCAGGGTTCACAAGTGCTCCCTAAACCCCTACACCATAAACCTTACACCGCAGCCTAACCCTAAATCATCGTCGCAGCCCGAGAATAAGTGGCGTCGTCGTTCGCTGGAGACAAGTCCCGAATGTACCTCAGATCCGGATCCTAATTACTACGATCGTGCTATCATCGGGGGCAAAAACTCCCGATGATGTTAAGGTCGTGTGGTTGGCTTAGCTGGATCATTGAAAAAGAGCACGTCGAGTGTCTTTTGGGCGTGTTCGAACTCCGGTAGCTAGGCTAGGGCAGCGGAGAGTAGCTGAAGTAGGCTTTTAGGGCTTCGGGTCCAGCGCTTTCGAGCCTGAACAACGCAGAGAGCCGCCAAGGCACTGGCCCCAAAGCAATCTCAAAGGCTCGAAGTCCTCATAACGGAGGTGCTTCCAGTGCTCTTTGCTTCGCGCCTGATCCACGGTTTGGTGAAAGGGCCAAGAGGGATGTTGGGACTGTTCTTACCTTTGGTTAGTAGGGAATGGAGGAATGGGGTACATACCATTCTTCCAGTCCCTACTAACCAAAGGCAAGTGTTAGGAACACCCCCGATCCCATACCTCTCCATTCCTACAGAGTCCCTGGCCTCTTTGGAGCTCTTGGTCGCATTCCGCCCCTTCGGGGGGTTCGCGGGGAGCTTGGACGGGTCCAGCCGGAGGAACTTCCCTCGGATGTTGCCTGGCTTGGGATCGGAAGGACTGAGGGAATCCGACTCATGACTTACCTTGGTTAGTAGGAAATGGAAGAATGGTAGCAATAGTAGTTATAACTGTACCCCATTCCTCCATTCTCAAGGTAAGATGAGGGCTGCGGCTGACAAAGGGGTCGCAAATCGACAAACTTCAGATTAGTTGCTTTAGGGCTTTGAGAACCCAAACAGTCGACCTTGAATGCTCGGGCCTGCACCGTCACGAGATCTGTCAGGAAGCCGGTGGACTTCTATATTCATTCAGGCATGCTTTCCGGTGGGGTTAAGAGTTGAACTTACCTTGAAACGAGTCGATTCTCAGCTGATGACGGAACTGCAGAAATTGACTACTTTTCTCCAGGTCGCGTTCGTAGTAACCGGCGGTGTTCCCGACGCCGAAGGTACCTGCGGCTGCAAAGGAACCCTCGTGGTCTTTACGCTTGTCGGCCCGCAGGCGTCGAACGAAGAGGGTTTGGCCGACTGAGCTCCAAGTTACTTTTGGTACTTAGTACCAAAGGTCCATTGGTCCATTGAAGCGTTTTTGGACAGATCTTCGCGGGCAAACTATGGCGAGCCGCGGGCCCCCCCTTGATTCTATACAATCAAACATTGGTTTCCGACTGTCCGTTGTAGCCACTTCACGCCAAGCCCCCGACCCTGAAGCACCACAAAATTTCATCAAGCCGACATAAGACCTCACTCAGAATCTCAAAGCGCTCCGAGGGCACGCAGCAGCTCCAGTGTGGGTCCTTCCCGGTCCGCAACTCGCCGCTTAGGTGCATCGGTCATGGCGAGTGGACGGATTTCTGGTGCAGTCAAGTATATAGGCCTGCATAAATAAAAATCATAATTACCCTCCTTTGGTCCTATGAGTGTAAGTCTAACGTCACCGTTCTACATTGGAAGGTCCCTCTATGGGCAAAGTGTTGTAGGCTCTGAGCAAGGAAACGCTTGCAGTGTACGGTCCAGCTGTTAGTTTTTCCGTGCATCCTAAACCCTAAGCCTTGTTGTTTGTCGTTATATCTTTGAGGCGAAAGTCTCGGAAGGCTGCATCCGCCTTGGGCGCGGCGGGCAGAAGGGTCTTCCGTCCGTGTCGGGACTGCAAGCACAGGCAGAGCGAAGCTTCCGGAGATGAAGGACCCTGATCGATAAAGACGCACCTTAACAACTAGAGTTCGGTTCAGGCTATTCTAACTATTATCAGGCACCGTCGGGACAGCTTTAAAATTTACTACTTACTCAGGCATCCATATTGCGCGCAACAAGGATGCAAGCTTACAAGTCCTCATAAGGCCTGTATAAGGCATTCTAAGCCCCTTCTCTATACGAGTAGGATGCATGCTACAAGGAGCCCCAAACCACAAACCAAAACTCTCTCCGGTCCCTCGACCCCCTCAACCCCAAGCCCGCAACCCCAGACCCCATCTTCCCTGGATGCTCCGGACATGGCGATTACAGGAAGGGAAGATCTTAAGCTAGCTGATGTGAGAGTTTAGGCTTCAGGGTTCGGGATTAGGGTTGAATAGGGATTTTGGCGTTTCGGCTTAGTGCTTGGGGAGTAGGTGAATTGTTCTTACAATAGGTTTTTGTGGCATTTTTAAGTACAGTCTTGTTGAGTAAGACTGACAGTCTTACTCAACAAGAAGGATAAACAACGCTATTGCTAATCATTCGGGGCCCGAAAATAGGGCTCTAATTATTTGCATCCCCACGACCCGAGCGACTCGAAGTGAACAGAACACCAAAGGCAGTCGCTGAGCTTCTTTCAAAGCTCTCCAGTGTCTATCCAAGCAGCGATCCTCGTTCTACGGCAAAGCGCGTGCAGCTCGTCTTCATGGATCCGAAGCCTATGACCGTAAAGCCTTACACCCTGAAACTCTGATGAGGCCTGCCCAAACCCTAAACGGCAGATTCAGATGGTGACTCTGTGGATCCCTCGATGACTACGTGCACTCTGCTTTGCTGCATCACTGGTTCCTCTCGGCGCCCTCGGGCGAAAAGAGCCTTCCAGGGCCGTAGAATCCGAGAACTTGGGCACTGCCCCCATACAGTAGCGGTCTCTAATAGGACTACTATTAAGGTCCTCATGTATCTATATTATGAATATTATCCAACTGTTACTGAGTGGGGGCAGTAGCCAACCGAGAACCTTTGTCAACATCCTGGACTTCTTATGGGGTTCAGAGTTTTGGAGCTAGGGCTGATGCGCCACACACTGCTACCTTCTGAAAAATCTGGTGGAGAAAAGGCACCCAAGTGTAAAACTGTCAGATAATACTTTGCTCCAGAGAAAGGGGAGGGAGGGAGGGATGAAACGAAGGAGGGGAAAGAGGGAGGTTTAGGGTTTAGGGCTTTTTGCGGTTTAGGGTTTAGGCTTTAGGACGTGCGTGGAGAGCTTTGGCGACTGTCGATCTGCATCACCATCATCGCCATCATCATCATCATCACCATCATCATCGTCATCATCATGAGCATCATCGCAATCATCACTCGGAGAAGAAACATCATCGTGGTGATGACTCTGCTCCTACTTATGATGCTTGTTGCTGTTTGCATAGGGTTCATTGAGCCGTCCGGAGGGCTCCGGATCATCGGACATTGAACAACTCGATGAGTGCAGTCCCTGTTCGTTGAGGGCAGTCGGGCTGAGTGTGTAGGTGAAATGTTCCGATGCCTACTTGGCAGTAATCTTGCCGCCGCCATGCCCTCAATAATGCTTCTGGATGTCTGGCAAGTTTGTGCTCACAGCGGAACTTGATTTCAAAACTGGAGGCCCTAAACGCTAATCCCAAACTGGAGGCTTTAAACTGCAAATCCTGAACCCTTCAATGCAACACCGTACTGTAAACCCTCATGTTCTGCAGAAGAAGCTAGCGAAGCCATGGTTATTCATCGCTTCACTGGGCCGCCTCTTTAGACCATGTCGGCGCAGGGCAGCTCGATCTTGAAATCCAAGCCCTGCTGCATGACGGCCTGGCCAGAAGACTTCGTCACACCTAAAAATCGGCCCCTGAATTTCTGGATTCGGGGAGGTACGGCTTTTCGAGGTAGGTGCAGTCGATCAGGCTTGGATAGATCAGGGCATCCTACACTTTAGGATCTCAAGACTTTGATGGGGTTTCGGTTTTCTAATGGCAAACGCTTGACATCTTGTGGGTTGCCTGTATCGGCTGAGGGCTCGGAGCCTGTCAGGCTCAGATATGGATGTCCAGGGGCAAGGGATCTGCCTACTGAGAACAAGAAGAAGTGAAGAACAAGAAGTTAAGTTGTCAAAAGGCCATAGCTGCGGAGCTAGGCGCTGTGCGCTATCCTTCCGAACTTGCCAACGCTCTTCGACAACAGGTGCCCCGGAATTACCGGCAGCACGGGTCTCAGGTTTTGGTTTTTGTCACATGCGATGCAAATTAAAGAGAAGTGGAGCTCATAATCCAGCCTTCACGTAGTAGTAGCCGAAATCGCCCAGAAGGATGAGATGGAGCAGATGTGCACCCCTGGGCGAGCCGGACAGGTCATGATGAGCAAGACTTCTTAACAAGTTAACGCAATTCTGTGTCACCTTACAATAACGGTTCCTGGACAATGCAACGAAACGAGAGAATCATGCAGGATCGCTAACGTTTACGCTCAGAACAGGGGCTTTAGCCTTCCCGATTGTAGAAACCCTAGAGGCCATCCAAGATCCTAAATGTGAGCTGCTTTTTACGGTTCGGGTCCAGGACAAGCTGAGCCCCCTGCAGAATCGCCCAGATCGCCTGCCCAGATTACGCAGGGTTGCAGTTGCGGCTCTCAGTGCGGCTAGCAGAGCAATCGGCTGTAGCAGCTTCCTCGAGCACGCAAAGCGCACGGCTTAGGCTTGAAGCCCGAGTACAACTTCTTGCCCTGGCCGGCCCACAGCGATCACAGAAGCCATGGGCAAGAAGGAGCACCGAGGCGCAGTCAGATCAAGCAGAAAGTTTTACAACGGCACAGGGACCACGAACGACAAATCGATTAGAGTGCTCAACAGCCTGAACATAAAACCCAACAAGTAAAACCTCGCAACAGCAGGCGGCAACATGCAACCAGAACCAGATCAAGCCAAGGGATGGTCGTGACTTTTAACGTATATGAGCCGCATTCGGCTCGCCTGGTTGAAGCTTCCCACGAGCGGCACGCAGGTGATGTCGAAGCGAGCATGCCACATGAAGATGCCACTCAAAGCACGGCTGCAGGCGAGCATCGCGATGTAGTGGCCTGGCAGGACATTAGTGATCAGTATATTTAGGAACCCTGACTGAACAGTACTACAAGCTATTCCAACCTCCTAGCACTCCCTCCAACAAGCGCCTGTGCACGCTTGGATCACGCCGCCCGACTGGTGGATGTGCCACCTGCACTGGGTTCTTATTGGGGAAGTTGATTTTCAGTCACCAGATATCAGAAACCATAATATTCGCGATAGATTACTATTGCGGTAATTCTGGTAACTTACATGAATCTCTTCACAAGAACCCAGTGGAATGGCCGAGCTGAGGAGCTTCTAGGTGGAACCCACCGGGGGCTTCGGTCTTTTAGAAGGCAGACTGTCATGTAGCGATAAATCCTAAACCCTAAACCGGAGGTACAGTTGAGGACTTAGTAGACAAGCTTCTGTCGACTGTAATTATATTGAACGCCCACATCCGGTAATTTTCGTGATGCCTTCCTGAGTTCTGGTTACCATCAATGTACATAACACAACACTTAACATGGACTGAGCTGTATATTACCATCGTTCCAGACACTCTAAATCCTGAGCTGTATGACCTCTCGAGGTTGTCAAATTTATTCAAGTTAGTATAATATACGACTAATCTCATTGTTAGTGCCGCTATGTATTACCTGCAACGCGGTGTTTACAGGCTTCTCTACTACCACCGGCCAACATACCTCCGAGCACATAGTAACTGACCTGGACATTGTCGAAGATGATTCCTTCGAGGAAATAATTTGTGAGTAGTGTCAGTTATCATCATCACCATTATCATTATCAGCCCCATCATCTTAGACATAGTCATAGTCATAAAAATGATGGCAACAAATCAACAGTTTTGGCATCAACACTTATAACAATCCTAACAATATGGTTCCGCCGGATTCCTTCGTTGCGGGATATTGAAGTCCAGGATGAAAACTACCCACTGCAATGCCGAGGTGCAACTGGGGAAGCACGGATACCACGCTGAGGAAGAGCCCGGCCATCCAAAGCGTATCCTCGGAGTGTTGGGCTTCGGGTTCAGGGTTTAGGGACAGTATCCTCGAGGTCTTGGGCTAAAGGGGTGTTAAGGCTTTTGGGCTGCATTGGTTGAAATTTGGCGCTAGGTTTTGAGGCTTTCCAGCTGAACATGCACCACTCGAGCTCGCAAGTGGCCGCAAATCAGGAACATCAACGTTGCAGTTTAAACCCTGAACCCTCAACGGACTAACAGGGGATTTCTCCTACTTGTAGACCCCCTGTTGCAGCTGAGGGGCGAAAACCGGGCGACCTTGGTCACGACACTGATGCGGCTCTGAATGAAGGCTTGAGGTTTTTCGGGGTTAGGATGGGCTAGGGGTTTAGGGCTTCAGGGTTTCGGGTAGAGTTTACCAAATGGCGACCGAAAATGTGATCAGGACCCGCAGCTGCAAACCGCGAGTCTTGACACCCTGACCTTCAAACTCTGACCCTCGAATCCTGAACCCTAAGCGCCCGATCCGACAGGGAGCCCCTAAAACCAGAAATCCGAAACTTGGAGCCATCATAAACTCCGCAAGACCCATGTCCTCATATGCTAGACCCTTGGACCCTCAGGCCCTATACCCGACACCCTACAGTGTAATTAAACCGAACCCTGCACCCAAAATCCGACTCCCGTGGCAGAAAGAGATCCTTTCGAGCCGTGGGGCTGTTCATGTCCGCATGGAGGAGCGCCGCCAGGAAGAGGCTTGCAATGACCATCGGCAGCACCTTACCAGGTTAAGGCTAGTGTTTAGTGCAGCGGTTTGGGTGTCGGGCCGGTTGACCCGAATTCCCCCAAAACCTAACTGTACTCCTAAATCATGAACCCTTGTCGGAATTGCGGCTTTTTCAGGGTTTAGGGTCCCGTTGGAGGGCTTTCCAGGAGACTGTCGAGGGTTCAGGCACAGTGTTCAGCAGCTTAGGCAAAAGATGTGAGCATCACGTAATGAAATGCTTTCCACCAATGAGGAAGAGACCTTGGTCCCTACAGCGACAGGATGACTAGACTCGAAGTCTAGCGCATACTTCTGCCCCGGCCGCACAAGAGGCATCGACTAAGGCGATCTAAAGCCGATCGGAGACTCTTCACAGCTCGGCTCCCATCACCGACCAACACCTGACATATTGCTATACCGTCTCCCCTGAACCCTAAACCTGGAATGCGTAGAACCCTGAGGCCCCCAACCCTGCCTGAAGACGAAGCCCCCAAAAGCCCTAGCCTTGAAGCGTGAAACCCTGAGTTCCTTTCTCAAGCTGCACCCCAGAGCCGAAAACTATTGGTAAACTGCCTCTCGCTCAGCTCAGGTCCCTTCACTTGGGCACGGACTGGCAGAGAGTCAGCCTCCTGGCAAGCCGCTGCGAAAAACAACTACCACTACGACTGACTACGACTACGAGTACGGCTGCTACTGCTACTGCTGCCACTACCATTGCCACTAACTATCACTACCACGACCACTACTAGTACTACTGCTACGACGACGACTACCGCTACGATGATGATGTCGATGGCGATGACGACGACGATGATGATGATGCTGGTCGCATTGCAAGTGCTATCCCTGCCATGATGTATCATTGCCCATGAGTAATGATGGCGGTTCTTACTGCTGATACGATTCCTGCTACCCCTTCTCTTATCATACACTTCTTGTCACTATTGCCGACCGTACAAGTATCCCAATTCTGCTGTTTGCTGCCGACCCCACTAATCTACTGGTATACATGAAACCATAACATCGCCCGTAAACCCAAGCCCAACTAACCGCAACCCTAGCCCGTAATGCTGTGCTTGCTATCGGCTCAATGGCTAGCTTCGAAACCTCGCAACCTGACGAGGGCCCAGCGACTGCCGCTGCAAAGAACGTCAAACCAATAGCTCATACAGAGAACAACACAACCAACAGACATGGCAGTACAAACCACTGACTGTAAAAAACCAATGCAGTGCCAATGGCAGCACGTTCAGGAATCGTGCGAAGCATCCTCTTCATCGAAATTATCATCATCATCATCATCATCATCATCATCATCATCATCATCATTGCACAGGTAGTAGCACCGTGAAGCAGCAGTAGTAGCAACATAGAAGCAGCTGAAGTACCACCACCACCAGCAGCAGCAGCAGCCATCAGATTAAAAACACCAAAGCAAACACAGAGACACTGATCCTGATCTTCGATCTATCCTAAACCCAAGCATTACTCTGGCCTTGCCTCCTCGTAGCTCCAACGATGGGACACAAACGCGCGATGGAGCAGAAATAAGACGAGGCAGAGGCTGCAAATCTCGACGGCCTCCCGGGTCTTTGGCTTCGGCATGGGGCTTGGGGTTCTAGTCTTCTGGCTTAGAAGCTTCCCTGCTTTTTGGGGCTTAGGGCCTTTGGGTTTGGGCGCTTCGGGCTCGGCTGGAATTTGAATCTTGGCCGACTTGACTGAGTGGATGTGCAAAGACACTTTCCCCAACCTGATACACAAAGTCCCCAGATGCATCCACCGGCAAATAGCCTGAGGCATTCAGAGCTCGCCCCCGGTTTACCGACGACGAGGACGACTTGGAAGGAGAACGAAGACGACGATGACTGCTACTGCTAGGCTGCTAGTGCTACTTTTACAACTCCGACTTCTGCAACTCCAACGACAACCACGACTGCATCTGGCAGACCAACTAGTTAACTTACGAACTGACTGACTGACTTACCTCACCTGCGAGCGAGCCAGCCAGGCAGCGAGACATCTGGCTGATTGGCAAACTAATTGGCTGACGAACTGACTAAGTAATTAACTCACGAAGTAGACTGGCTGACTGACTGGCTTGCTGGCTGAGCCTGACGAATGGTTTGAAAGACAAACTACTGATGCAAACAAGCAACGGAGTAAAGAAGTAACGAACTGATCAGCTTAGGAACTTGCCAACTGAACAACCAATCGCCTAATATAGGAACCTGATTAAGAAACCCTGAGTCTTTGTTTTGGTTCCTTATATGAGTCCTACTATATCGTGGCTATAGGGCCAGGGCTTCCAAATCGGTCCTACATTACCAACGAATCAACCAACCCCCGACCTTCCTGGCTAGAGCAGCTGACTCAGCCCGAGGCGGTTATGACCCACCCCACGAGGAGGGCGCCTGCTGCTGCTAGTACTACTAGTACTAGTACTAGCTAGTGCTGCCACTACTACTACTACACTACCACTACCACTACTGCTACTACAACTACTGCAACTGCTTCTTTGGCTAGCTTGGATTCTGCGCGGCACTCGCTTCCAAGTTCCACGATTACTATAAAGGCCGTGACAAAATTTAGGCCCATGTCCCGAAGATGTCGGCCAAGCAACCGTTGAGCCACGTTGTAGATGAGAGGCGGCAGGCGAAAGCGAGCGCCTGCGCTGTGGGGTCTACAAGACCTGGATGGGGACTACTGGAGTTAAGATCAAACTTTCTGAAACACTGTGATTCGAAGCAGCCTCATCATGAAGTAATGTGTTGCTTGTCATTAAGACTGTTCTGGTAAGGATTCATCGTCTTCATTGTCGCGAGATCGCTGCTACTGCGTAGTTTCGCTGTAGCCAATTACCAGTCAAGATGATTTGGCCGTCATCTGGCGCCCAAACTTCTCCCCCAGCTCCGCATCAATGGCACCAGCAGTTGACAAGGCAGTTGTAACCTGTACTTTCTGTAGAGATCCACTGACAGTTTCGGTCTCAGATTTGTGAGCTACTGGCTTGCCTCCAGGGCAAGGGACTTCGCCGACAGGCCGGCGACACTGCCTTGAGGCATGCAGGTTCATGCCCGCCAGGTGTTGTATCTGTGAGAGCACTAGCAAAAACACGAGATGCACCAATGTAAGGACAGCAAGAAGCACGACACAAACACATACTTGCTCAAGAGCAGTCTCAATCTCCACCACACCACCACCACTGCCACCACCGCCAATCACCACCAGCAGCACCACAACCACCAAAACTGCCGCCACTTTCATTTCACACCCACCGTCGCCACTTCCACCAACAAGACAATCATCGTAATCATCATAACTGGACCATAACCATACATGCAGCCACATGCACGACCACAGCCAGACCCGGACAACTGTAGCTGGTGTGACGGTGCAGGCAACGATGCTGCCGGTGACGGTGGAAATAGCGATGATGACGAGAATGATGATGACTGCGATGGCGATGGCGATGCTGCTGCTGCCGATGTTGCTGATGCTGATGATGCTGCTGTTGATGACGATGAAGAAGAACGGGGCAAACGTTCACACTGTTCGCACCGGCCTTGGGAAAGGGACTTGATGGTGAGCAGGACAAATGCCAGGCATTGGATCATCTGTGCCATGGTGAGAATGGAGGAGAACTCGCCATTGGCAACCAGGTGGTAGACCTTGATGACAGCGAACCAAAGTAAGGGAAACACTGAATCATGCGATGCGTCCAGCCGACTTTCACATGAAGGTTTAAGCTTAATCAAAGAATTTACGGTTTTGTTAAGGTCAAGGAATCTACGGTTTTGGTGTCCATCATGAGGGCTTGGACCTGCTGCAGTTTTGGAAGGTTGCCGGCGCAGGGCGACATGAGAATGTCTGCGTTTGATTGCAGCTCCCGCTATGTCCTTACCCGACAGCTTGCTCCTATGATCAACATGCTGCACTTTCCTACTCTAGTTGCCGCTGTGACGGTAGCGCAGCAACCCACAAAACCGCAGCAACAAACGAGACTACAGCCGACAAGAAAACCACACATCACAACAATCACCGACAAATACCGTCGTGAGCACGGGTTTGGCACCCATCGCGTCGAAACGCCGCTGTCGACAACAGTACGACAATCATGCCCACCGACAACACCCAATGATCTTGTCAGCACTACCATAAACGTTTTCAGTGTTACCACTGGTGCAACAACAGCATCATCAGCAACAACAACACCACCAACCACCACCACCACCACCACCACCACCACCACCACCACCACCACCACCACCACCACCACCACCACCAATTAACAGTATCAGTATCATCAAGAAGAAGGCCAACATGGCAATCACACTGAATCTTATGTGCATCATCAACACCATCGTGTCTATCATCATCAACATCATCACAGTCGAATCATAGTCTTCTTGATCATCGTACTCACACTTGTCACCCTCGTTCTCACCTCATCGGTACTGTAGGTCTGGTCAGCAGGCATTTCTACTTGCCAGCGGTCGCTGGCACACATGCCGATGGCAGATATAGATAAGCGAGACACGGCGAAGCTTCCTGCGAGGAAGATGGCGTAAGCTGCCTGAGCGATGCGGGCTTCAACTAGGCTTTCAGAGCTGAGCCGCCCCAGAAGCCCCGTGTGAGAATTGCGTCAGGCTTGGAATTCCGCATAGCGACAGCAAACGGGACAAGCCTAAGAACACCAACAGTTACCGCAACGACGACAAGGATGACGAGCTGCATGATGATGATGATGATGACGAGGATGAGGATGATGGGGATGATGATGATGATGACGCCGGTGATGATGATCTTGCGAAGGTGATGATCGTGAGGGTGATGATGAGGATTATAGTGAGGCTGGTGATGATGATCGTCATCGCGCATAGTGATTCTGCATGGTGGACATGATGCCATGATGCTCGTAGTAATGAGGAAGGATTAGTTACAACTTTATTGTCACGGTTGCGTGCTTGACCACATTCGTGCCTCAGCAGTAAGCTGCCAACCTGAAGCACAAAACCATAACTGCATTCAAGCCACCGCAACAAAGCCTTAGCCGGTTCAGCTGCTGCGGAGGCAGGGACGGGCCTAACTTAAGCTATGGATACCGGAATTATTTAGGGGACCTTACAATGCTGGATCCTGCTGGCTAGAGATCTATACTTGGGCCCATGTTGCAAACAATGCCTACACAAGCCTTCCGTCAGTTCAAGAGATGCAACCTGTCTGGGGCTTGGATCACTAAACCCTGTAAGGTCGTGCATCCAGCTTCCGGATCTACTCGAGAAAAGCCTTGCATCTTGGATGAAGAATGAAGTGCCAGAAAGACACGCGGAGGGCTTTTCTTCTCGGACTGCTGAATGGCAAACATGGCTCCCAGCATCTTCAGATCACTCCCATGTCCTTCCGAAGGAATGCTTCAGAGACTTCACAAGGGCAGCAGGTTGGGGCACCAAACCCAAGCCAAACCCTATCGTTAGACCAGGTTGTGTTTCATTACTGCATAGATTCAGCTTTAACGCCGCTGACTGCGTGGACGTCACTGGACACCCTTTGCAACCTCGGATCCGAGGTACTCTCTTCTTCAACAACCGGGCCCCAAAAAGTTCAAACTTTCAAAGATAGAGCTAATATGTAGGCCAAAAAGTTTAAAGTTCCCCGGATCACTACGTAAGGGCATTTTTGCAAATAGCAAAATCGACGATTAGGGTTTAGGGCTTCGAGCTTTAGTTCTGAGTTGGGAAACAGAGCACTGCGCACTGGACCCGCGCCTGTGGAATGAGTAAGGCTTGGCTTAGTTGCGCAGGGCCAGAAAAGATTTCTGAGCCCTCCCGAGCCGAAAATAGCGGCGGTGATGTTTGGATGTGATGTGCGAGGTGACCGCAGCTGATCGAATGGTGTAGAGCGACGAACTGAAACACTATACACAGTCAATGATGCAAAAGATGGCAGTGGTCCTTGCGACAGCCGAGAAGCCAGGGTGGACACCGAGAAAGAAGGATGTTGCAAACAGAACTTGCGCCGGACCCCGGTTAGGACGATTACAAGTCTGCTGACAGCATGCATACTAAGCTCCCGGTGCCTTCCTTTAAGTGGAGGGGCCTGGTCCATGGCAATAAGAGGGAACCACGGATGCGTGCAAGTGGGCGTACCGGCCAGCCCTTTCAGCATGGTAAGCATCATCGGCCAGCAGCATTGTGCCTCCAGTGGGGGCTGGCTGTCGGGTTTGGGGTTCCAGGGCCTCAGGTTTTGAATCGGGGCTCGCATGTTTTGGCTTCGGGCATTATAGGCTTAAGAGTTTGGGGTCTCGCGTTTAGGGTACACGCAGACACACCCGCCCGCACACCCACCCCTGGCATAAGTGGATTGCCTTGCACCAGCGCTCCTGGCCCTAAACGCTACATATGAAGTCTTTATGGCCTTAGAGGCGGAAGCAGAGGCAAAGGAATCCTTCTAAGGTACAACCTCTGGAAACCAGGTTTGGGTGTACGTGCAGACCTCAACTCAAAATCAACTGTCTACTCCCTGTCTTCGTCAAGCTCTCATACTCCCTCTTCTGCCTCTTTTGCTCTTTATATCTCAAGCCTGCGGCCACCTGCTTCTTTGTTGCGGATTCGGGATTCCCTAAGTCGAGGTCAGACCGGTCATACCAGTGTACATAGAGCCTGGTCGGGTGTGAACCATCAATGCACCGGCGGCTTCTACGACTGGTTCTCCCCAAGGTTTAGGCCTTGTATTCTTTCTGGCAAAGCGCTGAAGAAACAACCCCGGCACCCCCCCTGCCTTTAAAGAGGGCCGCTGCTCTGCGACGTCATTTGCGTCGGGCTATAAAAAAGAAGCAATTGCGGGTTATCTGACTTCTATTGCACAAGGCTTGCTGAGTCCTAGATGGCAAGCTAAGTGAGAGGCCTAGAAAGCCGGGATCTCAGGGAAAGCCATGGATGACATGCGGCCTGACCTCCTGCCAAGACCAAGCTACTGATATCAGGCCCGCCCGGTCACCTCTCTAATGGCATGCTTGAGGGAATCGCACAAGAGCGGTCACAGTGCACCGAAACAAGCCCTAAAGGTGCCGAAGCCAGAAACCCCTCTAGGATCGTCATCTGCCGTAGGTCTTCGCACAAGCATGGGGTCGCAGTTCGCATGGCACTTGCACAGAGGTCTTGAGCTTCTTTCTGTCCCTGCGAGAACCTCGTTTCCAGCAATAGTTGCGAAGTTGCAGTTGCTAGGGTGGAGGTGCCATGGGAGTAAGCTGCGTCCAGAACTATCTTAAAGGGCCTACTGCAAACCTAAGGCTCGAGCCTCTAGACCCTGAACCCCCTAAACCCTAGACCCCCAAACCGAACACCCGAAACCCTACCCGACCCTACCCTCCAATTACGAACCCTAAACCCTACCCTCTAATTACTAACCCTAAAAGCTAAACCCTACCCTCTTATTACTAACCCTAAACCTACCCTCTTATTACTAACCCTAAACCCTACCGTCTTGTTACTAAGCCTAAACCCTAAAACCCAACACAGCTCTCAGACTTCTCCGATCAGATCTGGGACTCGGCAAACTCGACTCCCCGGGAGCTTCCTGCAAGGGAGCTGAACGCAGGGTTCGGAGTTGAAACGAGATGGGTTTAAGGTTTATAGGGTTTAACTGACAGGGTTTATAAGGTTTAGGGTTTAAATGACAGGGTGTAAGGTTTAGGGTTTAACTGACAGGGTTTATGGTTGAGGGTTTAAATGACAGGGTTTAAGGTTGAGGGCTTAAATGACAGGGTTTAAGGTTTAGGGTTTAGTTTAAATGACAGGGTTTAAGGTTTAGGGGTTCGCGTTCAGTGTTTATGCAAGACGCCACACGATCCAGAAGCACCATGACTCCCTTGCGAAGGTTTAGCGTTTCGGGTTCACGGTTTAGGGTTTGGGTTTAGGGTTCAGGGCTTAGGGATCGATAGAGGTACCGTAAAGGTTCGTGTAGGGGATCAATGAATCAATAAGTCGAGAAATGTGCCAGGAGGGTTCCTTGACAGGATCTGTAAGTGTACTTATGTACTGATGCAGGATCTATGATTCTATAGTCTATAAGTCTACCAGGGTAAGCATACGTCTATAACGCAAGGGTACCATGAAGGTTCCTGAACGAGATGCAAGGACTCTCAGGGTACTTATGAAGGATCGATAAGTCAGAAACCGTTCGATGAGGGCTCCGCGAAGGGATCTATTAGGGGACTGATGAAGGATCCTTTGAGGGATCTATATACGGAGCCCTTTATGGATCCTTCATATGTATACTCTTATAGATCCTGTAATGGAACCCTCATCGTACCTTTAACATACTGTTTGAGGGTGCGTGTTTAGGGCCTGAGCCGTCAGGCATCCCAAGTTGCAAGCCTGGAACTCTGCATTCTACATCGTACACCATTAACAGCAAAGCCATCACCGCACAGAAACCCTAACCTCTGTCAAATTGTTCTGTGCTCTATGTTAACGCCCTTAGACAACTACAACCCGTTTAAACTGGAACCGGATGCAATACCAAAATCTCTGAACAAATGCGATAACACCCTGTAGAACCCTACCAGATTCTACAAAACTCAAATGACACCATTGAAAACTCTCAAGGCACGGCACGGAACCCGGAAGACCAAAAAGTGCCCGACCTGGCTCCAGCTTAGCCACCTCCTCGGCTCGAGTTTGGTAGTGTTGGGTTTTGGGTTGTTTAGGTTTAAGGATTTGTTGCGGCTTAGGGTTCAGGATTTAGGGAATCGGATCGGCATTTGGCCGTTTGCGGGGTGGGTTGCTTTGGGGGTGGGGGGATGAGTGCTTGTCAATTTTGGCTTGGGCTTAGGACTTTGCGCTTTGGAGTCGGGGGTGTGGTTCTGGCATTAGGTTGTTTTGCGTTCAAAGGAAACCTTGCGTGGCATGCGAGTGATAAAGCAACAAGTAGCATAGCACCACTTACTCACAACTCCATGTGTTACTTACCCTCGTCAGTGATCCTCCAATGCAAACCGTCAGTTCCAACAGCAAAGGCCCGCTCTCTGCGCTGATTGATAGCATGTAAATGCATATACGGCACCGCCAGGAGAAGAAGCCTGAAACAGAGGCTTGGCTCTTGGAGTACGTAAAGGGTCATGGGACACAGTAAGTAGGTTTAGAAACACGGCAACATGATCCTACTACTAATAAGGCACGCATACCCGTAATTACAAAGTGTCATGATCCTCCAGGTAGGCTTTAAGGTTGAGACAGGGTTTCGAGTTCAACCTAGGTCGACCCCTAACATTGCAAGTTGAGGGCGCGAGCCGGTCGGCCCAATCGCCAAGTGGATCCACACAGACGAAAGGCATGATGCAACACATCCGTTACCAGCATCAGCGCCATCATTCTCATCGCCGTTGTCATTGCTACTAGCAGCAGTCTCACTGCTGTAGCCACTGGCAGTGCGACGGAATGCATCTTGACCATGTGCAGCATCATTCAAAGTCGCTGTCGCCATCACCACCACGCAGAGCGGAAGCAGCAACGGCACCAACAGCGCCAGTGGCGTCATCATCATCATCATCACCACCATCACCCGTGCCATCATCATGAGCATCATCATCAGCATCATCATCATGATCAGCATCATCATCAGCATCTTCATCATCGTCATCATCAGCAGCAGCATCATCATCGTCAGAAGCAACATCAACGGGTCATCTTCATCGTCACCATCACCACCATCATGCCCACTATCATCATCACCGTCGTCATCGTGATCTGTCATCAAAAGCAGCAGCAGCAGCAGCAGCAGCAGCAGCAGCAGCAGCAGCAGCAGCAGCAGCAGCAGCAGCAGCAGAACTGCCGTTTTTACATGAACCATAATCATGGCTATGCGAATCAACAACAACCACCATGTCACTTCCCAACCAACACCGCTACTACCGTGATAATGACCGCCGCCGTCATTGTCACCATCATGCAGACGACCACATCTCGATGTCATCGTGCTACGAGCAGAAACGGCAAAGATACTGAAGGGCAAAGCTCCCTGCCCAAACTCAACCGTGGTTCGATGATTGTTGAATCCTCTTGCTGAAGCTACTTTGCGCTGCTATTACCAGATATCTGGTGCTGCGCAACGACGATGGCTATGAGTATGATGAATGCGATGTTACGAGCAAGTGGTGTCGTACCACTGTCATTTGATTGCCATCGCCACTGTCATTCTCGGCACATGTGGCACCCACGATTCAGTATGACTGCTGTCTGCGATGCTGATGACAGTGGTGATGCTGATGGCGACGACGATGATGCTACGTGCTACACCCATAGTAAGCCACAAACAGTGGGAACCGGATCAAGAACAATAAGTGCTGGGTTTCCCTATGCAGTATATGTTGCTCTTAAG